TGGATTAGTCCGATAAGCAACGGAGCGAGCGTGGATTGCTCAAAATGGAGCAACGAGCAGACCGAGCTATGCTACGGGTGTGATTCGTGTAAGGCAGGGTTGCTAGCTAACCTCAAGGAAGAATGGAGAAATGCTGACCTAATTCTGCTGATTGCACTTATAGGTCTTGTTTTTGTGTATTTGATGGCATTTTTGGCTTTGAAAAATGCCAAATCTGAGAACCTTTTCCGCAGGCACAAGCAAGGTTATGTCTAACACACTCAAATAATCAACAAAAACATAACTTTTAACCTTATTGCTTTCTTTTCGGGTTTCGGGTTTGTAGAAATATTGACGTTGAAACGATTATTAGAAATATGTACGAGTATCGGGATGTATTATTTCTCATTTGAAAATATATGTTAAATTTCATTTTTTATAGTTCACCTATAGCTCAGTGGGTTCGAGATGGTAAATTGAGTCTTATCTATTTAGTTATGCTCGAATTAGTGACTAATTATAGAATTACAGGGTTGTTTTTGGTTTTTTATGTTAAGAATTTAGGTAGAGGTGTACACGGGTTGAGTTGAGTTAGGAACCAACCCGAGATTTGTAACCTGAGCAACATGAATAGAGTTGATAGTAACCCCTGAAATAGAAAAACAAAATGACACCAAATTTCAGTGAACTATTTAAGCTATCAGTGTGATTGATCCGACAAGTACCAAGGACTTTCAGTAAACTAATTTCATTTCCGAATTTGCCATTAGTATGAGTTCGTTGACCGTGTAAGGACAATTCATCTCAATGCCAAATTCTACGATAACAAGAAAGAGAAATGAATTGTTTGATGTGAGATTTTCTGAACCAACCCGAGATTTTAAGAAATTAGGTAGGAGTATACACGGGTTGAGTTGAGTTAGATTGGAAGAAATTTTTTGAACCAACTCGAGATTTGTGACCTGAACAACTTAAACAGAGTTCACAACTCAACCCAACTCAACCCTCGAATTAAATTAAAACGAGTAATTTGGGCTTGAGGAATATAAACTAAGATTTGAATTGGGCTCCAATTCAGCCCAATTATTTTGGGCTCAAATCTTTAGGGCCCAGTTATAAATTGGAAGTAAATACATTAAAAATATTAAAAATAATAAAAAATAATAATTATTTAGTTATTTATTTTAGGTGAATTATCCAAATTCCATCCTAATTGGGCCCTATAAAAGGTAGATGTCGGACTGGGCCAAGCCCATAAGACCCATGGAATGTGTCTCTTTTCCGGATATTCAACCATTTTTCTCACCCAAGTTTTGAGAGATTTTATTTATTGAATAATATTTTAAAAATAGATTTAAATTAATTTAATTTGCGCTTTTTATTTATTAAGTTTGCTTTAAATTATTTATTATTTTCAAAAGTGTTTATAGAAATTGAATTTTATTTAATTTTTTTCAAACAAAATATTAAATAATTTAAACTTCTAACCTATTAGTTAACGATACCCTTAATTATTTATTAACTTTAGCCTTCTTTTATTATTTTTTCTATTAAATTTATTCGAATAGTTTTAATTTTTACTTTATATCTCTTTTTTTTTCATTTTTTTTTCTAATCAAAATTTTATTACAATAATTCATTCACTAAATTTTTTTTCGACGTACCTTAATTTTTTAAAAATATATAAACCAAAATGAACTAAAATCGAAACCGTGCTCGGTGGGACCCACGACCATCGAATTTAGTGATTTAATTATTAAATTTAGCAAAAAAAAAAAAAAGTTTTTTAAATCTATTTGCAAGAAAATGGATATGAAAAGAAATGGTAGTGGATATCTCTCTCCCAAAAAGTTTATTATTTGATTTATTTATTTATTTATTTATTTATTTGTGAGTTCCTACTAAGCTACCACCAAAAAAGAATATTCATATTAAAAAAATAAAATAAAAACTTAGCTTTATTCTATTTTAGTTATAAAAAAAATAATACTTTAATTAAAATGTTCGATCTAACTAAACTTTTTGACATATTTAGTTATAAAAAACGAACAAAAAAAATATTAAAAATATAATCTTTAAATTGAGTATAGTTTACGTAATCATTTTTGTATTTAATAATTATATAATTATATAAAAAAAAATAAACAAAATCATGTCGTAGTAATTTATTTTTATTTTGTAATTATTTTATTACGGAGTTTGATAAATGACAAATTTGGACGAAAATGAAATGTAATATATAAAATCAATAAAGTCGTAGATTAATTTAGGGATTGTTCGTGTGAATAATTAAATATTATTTTATTTTTATTAGGAAGTTCAAAAAATTTTACACTCTCCCTGGTGAATTAAATATTTTAAAAAAATTATGCAAAAAATTTAAGTATTAAATTAAAAATTAAAAATATTTATTTAATTGATTAAAAAATTAATTCAACAATTTATTTACGCATTTTAAAATTATAAGACGGGTTGAACTGCAATTAAAAATTAAAAAAAAAAAAAACTTGATTAAGCCTAAATCAAAAGGATAATTATCATTATTTTTGTCGTTGGAGCATGTGACACTAAGGTTATACATGAGTCGGGTTGAACCAATCTATAATTTCAGGTTTGTTAGATTGGTAACCCGAACAACTCGAATAGAACTCATGACCCAACTTAGCCCTCTATTTTCACGTTGAGTTGGATTGCGCTTTTAATTATTTAAAAATTCTATTTATTCGAATAGTTCGGGTTGACGAGTCTAAGTTGTTCGAATCAAGTTATATAAACACTACCTAAACTACATAATGCTTTTGGAGCAACACGTGGCAAAAGATTACTGGTTAGTGCTTTATTTGAGTTGTCTCTATGGTTTCATACCTATCATATCCAAGATGTGACATTATTATTATTATTATTATTATTATTATTATTATTATTATTATTATTATTATTATTATTATTTCCTCCTCTAATTTTGAATTAAAATTATAAAATTAAAGAGTTTTGTGTTGGAGGGACTCTTCATTAAAATTATCTATATTTAAATACATGACAATATAAAAATAAAATAAAATAAAATTTCAAGTCAAATTGTCTCTTCAATGCAACTTTATGACTAGTCATGTGTACGAAACATTACCGTCCAAATCCGAGTGCGAAAACTGTACTCTTACCTCTATTTTTCGTCTTTTTTATACTCCGTTAAGTAGAAATTTGAATAGTAGAAAAAAATTTGTAACATTTTTCTGGCTTACACGAACAATAGAATTGTAGAAAAGGATACTCGTACTTTCTTGTCTCGAGGTCCACTAGCATTAAAAAAGAATATTTATAAAGATAAAGCCCGTGTGAACAAAGAATGTACGATACATTCATAGTACTAAAAAAATTCCCTTTGACATTTTTTGAAACATATAATCAACTTTGAGTTGGGAACATTATGTCAATCACATGTTATTACACTAATAACTTTAAAATTTTCATAAAAATAATCATAATTATTATTAAAAATTAAATAATTAATTACGAAACTCTAGAATATAAATCTCAACATTCTCTCACTTCACTAGTGAGATATGTGTCTGAGAACGTACTCTATACCCAACATGTTTGTTTTTTTCTGTTCTAAAGAAGATGAGACATGTCCCGTAATGTAATATTTAAAAAATATATATATATATATATATATATAATTGTAACAAGGGAAAATGGAAAATAAAAATAAAAAAAAGGAAAATTAAAGGTGGTATCGTAGGTTGATGTTGAGAGAAGGGTGGGACCCACGCGAGAAGCACACGGAAGCACTCAGAAAGTGTGGGACCCACATAAGAAAGAATACCATTCCGCTTTCTCATTACTGTCGGCGAATATAGTTTCGACACGTGTTAGGCTGACAGCAACCACACGTGCCGCCCTGGGCCCACCTCCCTCCCACTTGCCACTTGGGATGTTGGTAGTCAAAAACCTTCCATAATTAGAAATTTGTTTTCACCTTTTTAAAAATTTCAATTTCTTTTTTTTTTTAGCTTTATTTTTTAATTTTAAATTTAGTCAAATTTTTTTTTTTTTTTTTTTTTAAATTGATTGGGTTGGTGACCCGCTCAACCGTCTTTTCGAGCTGAGTTGTTCTACTCATCTTAAAACGCTTGAATATCAAACAGTTCACAAGTTACAACGCATTCTAACATTTATTACAAATATTAAATATTCTTAATAATCTTAAAATCATAATAAGTTGGGTTGTATTGTAACCCTATTTTTAGGGGTGGTCGGGTTGATCCGACAAAAAATAGTCAACCAGACAAAACAGATCCCAATTTTCAATTTTTCAAAAAATTCAACCCAACACAACACAACATCTCTACCAAAACTTTTCAACCTAATACATCAACTTTATAAAATTACAGAGTCTTTAAATTCTGAATTTTAAAAATTGAGAAAATTTTCTCGTAATTCAAAATTTTCATTTTTCAATATAATTTTTATTAAAAAATTTAATAAATTAATATATATTTCATAAAGTTAATATTATAATTAGTCTCAAAATTAACTATTTTTTAATACGACCATAAAATAAAATAAATATAAATATATTTATATTAAACGAAACGGGTGACGAAAAATATAATCTCATTCCTAACCCCATTTATCTCTAACGAAGAAAAAAACATTCCACACTCTCGTTCTCGAACAAAGTCACATATTAGGTTAGATAGTTAAAATAAAATTTTAAAAGTCAACTAAATATTAAAAAATAAAAAATAAAATAATAAATAGAGAAAAGAAATAATACAATATATTTTATTTTCATTTAATTTTACATATAAACATCATTTTCCATTATATCTTCATCAAGACATCTAATAAGCATAAGAAAGAGAAAAATCCCACCCAATATTTACAACTTCACCCCAAAACTTAGTATAATTCCCTATAACCCCAACCTATTTCATATAATTACTTAAACCTACCAAACTTATTTTTCCTTTTAGTCCTCTAAATTTCACATATTTTCACATTTGCCTTATTTTTTTCCTTCTTCTTCCCCATATCTATGCTTCTTCTATATACAAAGCTCTAAAAGTAAAGCTCTAAAAGTAAGCCTCCAACACCGGCCTCTTTCACAAAGCTTCAGGCATCGGAGAGGAGCATCGTGGCAATTACATTACATTTCAGGGGTCTTAAGAGTAATTAAGAGAAAGTAATAATACTAATATTCTAAAACTAGCCCTCCCATCGGAGCTCGATGTGGGATTCCCTTCCTCCGTTTTGCCGTCCTATAGTTAATTGATGTCGGAGGCGGCGTCGAAGGACTAAAACTCTGAAATTTGTTGCTGTTGTGGCTGTTGTTGCTCTTGCTCCGCCTGTGATTGCTACTACTGTACGAGTCCTCCGAGTCCGATACCGCCATTGTGGCGGCGACACCCGCCATACCCACTACTCCCGCCACCCTCTTCTTCTGGAAACTCCTCGATGTCCCGACTATCTGCAAAATCAAAATCAGGTTACAGAGGATTGACAAATGGGAAGCCTCTTTCTGACTTGTTTGGTTTCCGAGAAAATTAAGAGTCCAGTCAAACAAACACATTGATGACACGAATTTCCATTTGGATTTTCCTTCATTTTCCCACCAATTTTCTCAGCATCCAAACAAGAAAGAAACGCCTTCATTGGGGGCTATTTCAAATGGGTTTTTTCTAAATTTTCCCACTGATGTTCCCACTGATTTTCCAGGAAACCAGACAGAACAATACCTTGCAGCCAAGGGAACAGAATCGAAAGGAATCAAGGAGGCTGCGTTCACAGACTTCACAAGTGTTCGTGACGCCTTTGCCAGGACGCGGCTGAGGCCTTTCGTTCAAGAACACGACTCTAGCGCTGTTGATAATGTAAGTTTGGACACCAGAAATGTCCAAAACCTTTTGAATCTCAGAAACTCTGATCACATCATGGTAAGAAGACCTTCGAATCTGTAAGAAACAAAGAATTTGATTAGAAAAACGGGGAAATTAGGGTTTGGATTTAGGTGAAAAAATGGGGGGAGAGTTCAAGACCTGAATGGCACGATGATCTTTGTGAAAGTTGAGGCAAAGAGAACAGAGAGCGCCGTTCATACAGTCTAAACAGTACATATTGCATTCGCTTTTGTGGGAATCGATGTGGTGTTTGCATTGAACGAAGAAGGTTTCTCTTAGTAGAGGTTTTAGCCATGGCGGCCATCGGTTGTCTTCATCATCAGGACCTCCAGCACCCTGTTGAAACAGAGATCATCAAGAACAATGTCAAGAGCAGAGGAAAACAATCGAAAACTAAGCAATACCCAAATGAAAAAACAGGAAAATAAGCAAAACCCAGATGAGAAAACAGAAGAAAATCAATACCCAGATGCTAAAATCGAGGTTAAAGCCATACCCATATGAGAAAAACTAAGAAACAGTGAAGGAAAAACAGAATGCGGGAAAGTCAAATCAGAAAAATCGAAGCCCGGATGAGAAAATCCAAAAATAAGCAAAACCCAGATGAGAAAATCCAAAAATAAGCAAAACCCAGATGAGAAAATACAAAAATAAACAAAACCCAGATGAGAAAATATCAGAAAATCAATACCCAGAAGGGAGAATCGAACTAAAACACAAACCCAGATGACAAGAACAGAGGAACAGTGAAGGAAGAACAGAATGCGGGAAGTCAAATCAGAAAAATCGAAGCCCGAAATCGAAAAACAAGCAATACCCAAATGAAAAAGTGTTAAACTAAGCAAAACCCAGATGAGAAAACAGAAGAAAATCAATACCCAGAAGGGAGAATCGAACTAAAGCGCAAACCCAGATGACAAGAACAGAGGAACAGTGAATGAAGAACAGAATGCGGGAAAGTGAAGCCAGAAAATTCGAAATCCATATGAGAAAATCGAAACTAAGCAATACCCAAATGAAAAAATCGAAAACAAAGCAAAACCCAGAAGATCAAACAGGCAAAAATCAACAACCCGATGAAGAAAAGCGAGGGAAAACGAATGCGGGAAATTGAAATAGTAGAAAAAAAAACTGCCTAAAAAGCGTCATACCATGATTCTTCTGCTCTTGGGCTTGATTTCACGGACAGTATTATCGTGGTTTTCGATCGCCAGCTTGAAATTTGTCAAAAAAAAAAACGAAAACAGAGTGAGAGAGAGTTTTTGGCCGGTTCTAGAGAGAGAAAAAGAGGAGAGAGAGAGAGAGAGATGAATCTTTCAGAAGAGTGGAGGCGGTGAGGGGGAGAATGGGTTCTTCTTGTAGAGTGGTAGATGGCGTTAGAGAGAGAAAGGGGTCGTTCTTATCCTCACAATGTCGACTTCCGAACCAAACTCCACACCAAACTCCGAACCCGAACCTGAGAGTAGATGCGACGGGTTCAAGGAACCTCACCACCTTCGCTTTCGTTTTCAAGGCCTTCGGTCGCCCCCTTTGATTTGGGTTTAATCGTAATTTCACTTTTATTAAAAAAATATTTTATTTTATTTTATTTAAATACATAATATTTTAATGATTTATAAATTTATTAAATTTATTTTTTATGAGAAAATGTTATTAATATATTTTAAAAAATTAAACCATTAACTTTAAATATACATATTTAAAATAAAAATAAAAACTTTAATTGAGCTACCTAATTGAATCAAGTAATTAACATATGTTGAAGGCTAAGACTTGGTCAAATTTATATAAATTTGGTACAAATATCATATCATATTTGGATTTAATTTATTTTAGAAAATTCCTAAACCAATAAAAAAAAACAATCCTTAGAAGACAGGTTTTAAAATCATGAGTATAACGATAATATGTAATGGACTAAAGTAGACAATATCTGCTAGCGGTGAGCTTAGCGTGTTACAAATGGTGTAGAAACCTCGAGCGGTGTGTCAGCGAGAAACATTCCTTATAAGGGTATGGAAACCTCTCCTTAGTAGACACGTTTTAAAATCATGAGGCTGACGATAATATGTAATGGACTAAAGTAGACAATATCTGCTAGCGGTGAGCTTAGGGTGTTACAGATGGTGTAGAAACCTCGGGCGGTGTGTCAGCGAGAAACATTCCTTATAAGGGTATGGAAACCTCTCCTTAGTAGACACGTTTTAAAATCATGAGGCTAATGACAATATGTAATGGACTAAAGTGGACAATATCTGCTAGCGGTGAGCTTAGGGTGTTACAAATGGTGTAGAAACCTCGAGCGGTGTGTAAGCGAGAAACATTCCTTATAAGGGTATGGAAACCTCTCCTTAGTAGACACGTTTTAAAATCATGAGGCGTATGACAATATGTAATGGACTAAAGTGGACAATATTTGGTAGCAGTGAGCTTGGGGTGTTACAAATGGTGTAGAAACCTCGGGTGGTGTGCGAATGAGAAGCATTCCTTATAAGGGTATGGAAACCTCTCCTTAGTAGACACGTTTTAAAATCATGAGGCGTATGACAATATGTAATGGACTAAAGTGGACAATATTTGGTAGCAGTGAGCTTGGGGTGTTACAAATGGTGTAGAAACCTCGGGTGGTGTGCGAATGAGAAGCATTCCTTATAAGGGTATGGAAACCTCTCCTTAGTAGACACGTTTTAAAATCATGAGGCGTATGACAATATGTAATGGACTAAAGTGGACAATATTTGGTAGCAGTGAGCTTGGGGTGTTACAAATGGTGTAGAAACCTCGGGTGGTGTGCGAATGAGAAGCATTCCTTATAAGGGTATGGAAACCTCTCCTTAGTAGACACGTTTTAAAATCATGAGGCGTATGACAATATGTAATGGACTAAAGTGGACAATATTTGGTAGCAGTGAGCTTGGGGTGTTACAAATGGTGTAGAAACCTCGGGCGGTGTGCGAATGAGAAGCATTCCTTATAAGGGCGAGGATGAGTGTGAAAACCTATCCCTAGTAGACACGTTTTAAAACCATGAGGCTGACACCGATATGTTACGTAATAAACTAAAGTGGACAATATCTACTATCGGTGGACTTATGCTCTCGGACTTAGAATATACCTAAATATTCACCTTGGAGAATATATTTTACTATTTACGTGAGATCTCACATCGATTTAAGAGAAAAACGAAACATTTCTTATAAGGGTGTGGAAATCTCTCATAATAGACATATTTTAAAACTATGGGGCTGACGACGATATGTAACAGACTGATGTAACCCTAATTATCTCGTGATGCATCATCAAGAGTCATAAAAGAACGAGTCCAATCAGCTGAAATCGACTAGATCTATTTAAAATAAGAATTAAATGAAAAAAAAAAACCCAAAATATAAATGGCCATTAATGTGTAATTAAAATAAGGTAATGTTTATAAATCATAGTTTAATGATAAAATGTTAGTGTTAGAGCATAGTTTAATTTTGTGGTGGATGAATTAATATTTTGAAGATTATTATTATTTAGTGCTCACCCCTCAACTTATAACAAATTACAAAAATTACTATTTTTATTCCACTTTTTATTATTATTTAAATATAAAAATTCCACTATCCTCACATTATTGGAAGAGGGATCTAATTCTCTCATCACCATGAGATTAAATTAATTAATATTATATTTATTTTATTAAAAAAATTCACTTTTTTTTTTCTAAACTAAGATTTTATATTTTATGAAATATATAAAATCAAATATTTTTAGTATTTTATTTATTCTATTTGTGGCCCAAAAGTTTCCAAATTTAATTGAATTTATCATATTTTTTATAAAATTATTTTAGAGAGTTTATTTGAGTTAAAATATAATGATATTAATTTTAATTTGTAACCAGTTGTTTATTTAAATTAAAGATGAATTAATTAATTCAAAGTAATATTAGTAATTTTTTTTATTATCAAGTTGTAATTTTAATATTTAAATTTTTAGAAATTATGTTTGTCAATAAAATATATTAGTTTAATTTCTTTAATTAAAATTATATTGAAAAATAAAAATTTTAAAATAACTATAATAAATGAAAAAAAAATTATATGCGGAGAATCCAATTCTCGCAAATTACTTGTGAGGAATCTCCGCTCCGATCTGTGATGTCCCACATTGGTTGGGGAGGAGAACAAATCACCCTTTGTAAGGGTGTGAAAATCTTCTCTTAGCAGACGTGTTTTAAAGCCTTGAGGGGAAGCTTGAAAGGGAAAGCCCAAAGAAGACAATATCTGCTAGCGGTGGATCTGGGTTGTTATAGGTGGTATCAGAGCCAGACACCGGACGATGTGCCAGCCTTCTCGCTGTTCCCCGAAGGGGGATAGACACGAGGCAGTGTGCCAGTAAGGACACAGGCCCCAAAGAGGGTGGATTTGGGGGTAGTCCTACATTGATTGGAGAAAGGAACGAGTGCTAGCGAGAACGCTGGGTCCCGAAGGGGGGTGGATTGTGATGTCCACATTGGTTGGGGAGGAGAACAAATCACCCTTTATAAGGGTGTGGAAACCTTCCCTTAACCGACGCATTTTAAAGCCGCCCTGAGGGGAAGCTCAAAAGGGAAAGCCCAAAGAGGACAATATCTGCTACCGGTGGATTTGGCTCATTACAGGGTGTGGGGTCCATGAAACTCGGCGATCGCCGGAAAACTTGTAAGTTTTTCGGCGACTAAGTTTTTTTTTTTTTTTTCTCGGTCGTTACACGATCTCTGCAAAAATAAGTGAAAAACTTCACGGAGATGAGAAATGAAATAGGTAGACATGTCTATGTGTAATACTAACGACATATATGATATCATTTTTGTTAACATGAGCTTTTTTTCTAGATGAAATAAAAAATAAGTTAATTCGGAGTTTCCGCTATAAAAAGATCCGTTCATTTAATAATAGTCATACCAAGCTTCGGTATCCCGCTCCCATTAAAGAAAAAAGTACGTAGCTCAATAATTGCGGAATTGGTGATGAAGCTAGAGATTGAATCACGGATCTTCAAAATGACAATGGTTACGAAACCCTAAAACGATATCGGGCGAGATTTTACACGGAATTCAATAATTTAGCCATTATTATATTAAATAGGAGGGAATAATTAGATTATATTAAAATAAGGGAAAACTCCCAAATTAATTAATTAATTTATTGGAATTTATCTCCTGAATTTGCGACTCAAGGAATCTGTATTTTCATATTCCAATTCACTAGAAGACAAAACATAATGTTTTTTTTTTTTTTTTGCTTTATTTAAAAAAAAAAAAACATTATGGATAAGCTTGAGAATGCATTATCCATTGTAATTCATTATTGAAGATTTATGTTTTTTAATTTCTAAATTTAAATGAAATGAAAAGAAATATTTTCATTCAAACTATTAAAAAATGATATGTTTTTATTTATTTATTTTTATTATTGTAAGGCTATCGAAAAGCTCGCTGCTCGATATACTGACGTATGAGTACCTATTTTTAGTCACGGTATCTCAATTTCAGATATAATTATTTTTATTTAAAAAATAATTTCAAATAGTTGAAAGTATAAAATAATGGGCAACTTGTTCATTTAAAAATAAAGTAAAAAGAATGATTAATTTTTTTTTATTGAAATAAAAAATAAAAAATAAAAATGTCACATTCTATAAAGTCTTGAGGGGTGGGTTGACTATGCATAGAGATGAGACATTTTGGGTTAGTATTTCACCCATTTTTTTTTTTGGTTTTAGGTGGGGAAGGTAATATTTAAAATAATCTCTCAATTATTATATCTAATTTATTGTATTTTTTTATATATATTTTGATATAAAAGTCAATGTCTCTTTATTTTAATATTGACAATACGAGCATAGGTCAACTGAGACAAAATATTTGCTCTCGATCAAAAGGTATGAGTGTAACAGTCTAAGCCCACCGCTAGCATATATTGTTCTCTTTGAACTTTCCCTTCTGAACTTACAGTTTTAAAATGTGTTTATTAGGGAAATGTTTACACACCCTTATAAGAAATGTTTCGTTTCTCTCTTCAACCGACGTGAGATCTCACAATCCACCTCCCTTGGGAGCCTAGGCTTTGATACCATTTGTATCAACTAGGCCCACTGCTAGTAAATATTGTTATCTTTGGACTTTCTCTTACGTCTCATGCTGAACTAAACTTGTTTTTTTTTTAAGTAATGATTTTAAGTCGAGTCGTTACAATTAATATTAAAGTCTCGAGATAGTGGTGATATAGAGTGTTGTATAGCCCATTTCAAAAGACATCTCGTCACAATCGTTATCCACAAGAGTATGACTAGAGCTCATGTGATGGAGCTCGGCAACTATGTAGTTGGTTTGATTAGAGTCTTATATAGGCTTTTGAGCGT